TGAATTACATTATTTACGTCATTTCTCATAAACTTACATATATTTCCCTTATGTTACTATATAATTTTTAATTAAACTTTCAGTTAATCATCCCATCCGTCATTACTTATTACACCATATCGATGCACCCTCGATCGTCCACACCACATATCCTACTACAATTTCGACTCTCACTATTACTTCCACTTTAATAGGTCAATATTTCGTTTCTTATTTATTTTAACGAATTTCCTCACCTCGTACCAAATAGTTAATTTTATCTAACGCACTTGAGATCAAAATACGTATTTATTTGATTTATGCGTTTGTATAAAAATTCTTTTTACCATGTATTTATGTAGTGCATCTATACAACTTTTATTTCGGTATTGATTTGGAAAATATAAAAAATAAAGCTTTAAGATACTAACCAATAGTTTATAAGAGCAAAAGTTAGTTAGCCATCAATCCTTGCTATTTCCAACTACCATTTGACTCTAAACGGGTTAGTATCTGAAATTTTAATATTAATGTTTACTTCAAAAAAAAAAACCAGAAAACTGCATGTCGAAGCATTACAAATTTATGTTATCTTGAATCCTATTCATGTATAACCGATATTAATCCTGACAGAAGCAATTAGTGTATTATGTATGATAATTTTGTATAATGTATCAGCTTGATTTATTTTTTTATTTAACTCAAGTGCAAGTTTTTTTTTTGATATAATAAAGCTGACCCTGGTAGTTGCTTTCGCATACATAAACAGTTTACTTTTGCATGTGTATTTCGCCGTTATATATTGATATCGCCGTTTATATTGTATATTATTGAGAATTTTTTGGTAAAAGGATAATGCGTGAAATTTTTCTTGGCATCAACGTTCCGTTTCGGAACGCACACGTGGTTTTATTTGGAACATCTTTGCACAAAGATAACAATTGAATTAAAAGCAATTAACTAATAAAAAACGTTTTCAAGACGTGACCAGTAAAAATCTTTTCCAAACATTTGTTATAAAGATATAGATATGCAGGCTCAAAAAAATGGGTGGTTTCCATAGTACCTGTACAACCTAACAAACCTACTATTAACGAAACGAGAATGTATGACACAATATCACGTGATGGTGAACTCTTATGCGAAACAGTGTTGGACCAACTTTGTTAAACTGGACCTATAAATTGGAGCATTGGACTTATAAAATCCAATTGGAATATATAAGTCCAATTCCTATAAAAAATTACTGGACTTATAAAGGTGACCAACACTGATATGAAAGCATATTTATCAAATTTTCGCATCGTGGATGTTTCGCATAATCAAAAAAAGCATCCTGATCATGTGAATTAATTGTGATTGGTTGTTGAGCGTCACTAAATTTGCTTGGCAATATGCATGTTGATTTGGGCAAGAAAGTTCTAACGTAGAAAATCGATAACCTAAATTACGAGCATGGTTGAGGTGAATTTTTTGACGGATACAGAACAAATTTCAAAAATTTACATCCCCTATTTGAAAATCGCATCCTTATTTAATTATTTCGCATAACGATAAATTTTTCGCATCGCATAATTTATCCCATTATATAATTCTAGACCTAGTAGGGTTGTACAATTACCGTAACTTTACATAATGTTTGTGTAAATTTTTCCCGCAACAAAAATTTTGATGTCATGTAGCAAATTTTCATTATACCTGGTGTATAAATTATAACTCCGAATGTAGTGATAGATTTATAATACTGGTACAATAACCATGTGCCAATCCATTGTCAAATGTAATACTTTATTACACTATATAACTTATCAGTTATATACAATTTTGTATTTATTGAGGGAAACGAAGTGGAAGCCTTAAAGCCATACTCTACGATTTTTTAGAAATGTCCGGTTCCCGGTTCAGCTGGTCCT